AAATAAAAAATAAAATAAAATAAAATAATATAATATAATATAATAAAATATAAAATAAAATAATAAAATAAATAAAATAAAATAAAATAAAATAAATAAAATAAATAAAATAAAATAGCCCTGGCTGGCTTGGCTCAGTGCTTAGAGCGTCGGCCAGCTCACTGGAGGGTCTCAGGTTCGATTCCCCGGCCAACGGCACATACCTGGGTTTCAGGCTCAATCCCCAGCCCAGGTGCAGGCTGGTGCACACAGGAGGCAACCAATCGATGTGTCTCCCTCACATCAATATTTCTTTTGCCCACTCCCTCCCTCTTTTTTACTTGTTTATTTTTTTTTAAATACGTTTTTATTGATTTCAGAGAGAGGAAGGGAGAGGGAGAGAGAGAGAAACATCAATTGGGAGAGTCAGGGATCGGCTGCCTCCTGCTCGTCCCCTACTGGGGACCAAACTCACAACCGGGGCCTGTGTCCTGAGCAGGAATCGAACCAGCGATCTCCTGGTTCGTCGGTCAATGCGCAACCGCTGAGCCACCCCAACTGGGCCCTTCGACCTTCTTTTATTTAAAAAAAAAAATCAATGAAAAAAATAGCCTCTGGTGATGATTAACAAACAAAAAAAATCATAAAAATGGAATTAATGGTATCCCTTATAAATGTTCACTGTCCAATATCCCTGAGCTGGCGCTTACTCAAAAACCAGAATATTTTTTATGTTAATATAGTCTAACTGACACCTTCGTTTCACACGCATTCTGACTTTAAATTTACCAAATTTTTCAAATACGATGGTACCTCGGTTTCCCAACGTCTCCGCTGACGAACATTTCGGTCTACGCAGGCCCGTCGACCCGGAAGGAAATGCTTCGGTTTTCAAACACGCCTCGGAAGTCAAACACGCCCCACGGCTGGCTTCCGCCGAGGGCAAGACCCTGAGGCCTAGTTGTGGGCTGTGGATCCCTCGGTTTTCCTAACGTTTCAGAACTCGTACGGGCTCCCGGGACGAATTACATTCCAAAACTGAAGCACCACTGTTGTTTTAGCAATAAGAGGCCTTTCCAAAAAAAAAAAACAAATTCTATCAGTCGTTTGAATGTAAAGCTTCATAATTTGATTTCATTGCAAAAAAAGTGGAAACAAAACAGTAAAATCAGAGCAAAGAGCCAGCTAGTCGGGTTCGGTTTTCTCTTCACGCTCAGCCGTGGTTTCTAATACAAGGCGGGGCCAAAGCAGGTTTACCGTGGTCCGTGTGGAAAACAGCCCAATAATTAACAAATAATAATACACGAAGAAACTCTGCGTTTTCCGTACCCACGGCTGTAGACCCACTTCTGCCCCACCCTGTGCGTGTTATAGGTTCATCGTTTTTGCTCTAAGCTGCTCAGAGTGGAAAGTGCAAGTGGGAGCTCGAGTAGCCTCCTGGGTCTGAGCCCAGAACTTTCTGCTCCGAGACTCAGTCTTCTGGGGTCGGCTACATCTGCTGTTTCTCCCTTGTCAAGAAATTACGTCCAGCCTGGCCGGGTGTGGCTCAGGGGTTGAGCGTCGACCTAGGATCCAGGCGATCTGGGTTCGATTCCCGGTCAGGGCACATGCCCAGTGGCGGGCTCGATCAATGACTCTCTCATCATTGATGTTTCTATCTCTCTCTCCCTCTCCTTTCCTCTCTCTGAAATCAATAAAGATATATTTTTAAAAAAAAGAAAAAGAAAGAAATTACGTCCATATAGCAGGTGGAGGACACTCAACAGCAGAACAGAAACAAAGACAGACGCACGTCCTGGCTGGTGTTGCTCACTGGTTGAGCCTCGGCCTATGAACCGAAAAGTCGCCGGTTTGATTCCCGGTCAGGGCACAGGCCCGTGTTGTGGGCTCCATGCCCAGTAGGGGGCGAGCAAGAGGCAGCCAATCGACGTTTCTCTCTCATCACTGATGTTTCTCTCTCTCCCTCTCTCTTCCCCTCTTCTCTAAAAATCAATAAAAAATATTTTGAAACAAACAAACAAAACAAAAAACAACTCACAGCAATTCTTTTAACGTCTGAAAACGGAAACTTAACACGAAACTATTCCACTAAATTTCAGACCACAGGGTAATCCACCTGCAAAGGCCAAATGCTTGAATAGTCCGGAAAATGCCCATGAATGCCCTTGACCGAAGGTCATTACCGGGATATGACGAGCCGCATGGTCCCCTCAGGCAGGAAAACGGGTTTTCCAACCCCAAACGTCATCCGGTGAATTCCGAGGTCTGTTTGTTCCACCTCAAAAAAAATAAAAATATAATAAATTTTAAAAATCACGGTTTCTTAAATTCATTTGCGTCCATCGGTGTTCAGTCCCCTCCCTGTCCCCAGGTGACTGATGGCGTCTCTCTCTCTTGCATACCCCTGAACCCTCCAAACTGGCTCCGACCCCCCCGTTTTGGGCAGCTGGCCTCTCGGCGACCCAGCCAAGCCAGCCAACCCTGCAGATACCCAAACCCGGCTGCAATAGCCCCTGAAGATGTCCAGTAACGTCCCACTGGCCTTGGGATTAAAAGACCTCAACCCCAGCACGATTGATACACCTCCCTGAATTGAGGTATTTGCTATTCTTTTAAATTTTTTTACATTTATTGATGCATTTCGTAGTTGAATTTATTGGGGCGATACTGGTTCGTAAGATTAGATAGGCCTCAGGGCTGCAATTCCCTAATAAACCGGTTGTCTGTATATTGTCTGTATATGTTGTCTGTATATTGTATTGTGTGTTTTTTAATTTAAAAAATAAAAAAGTAAAAAAACGCACACACACAATGACAAACGGCCCTCGCCTGTGGCCGTGGTGGCCCGACTCAATATGTTCTTTCATAACAGTCCAAAGAGTGGTCCTGCCTGGCATCCCCCCCTCACCCCGAAACCTCAGAGCCTCCAATTTCTCCAACGGGGTGCGGTTCTCGTAGGCCCAGGAGCGACCCGCAGGACAAATGACACACGTGATAAGGTGAGTCACCTGCTCCTGTACTTTACAGGCCGGGTTCCCACTGCGCCCTCGGGACACCTCCCCCGGCGTCTTGCACAAGAGGACGATTGCTCACCCCTTTTAATGGAGAGGCAATCGGGGGAAATCACAGGGTTTAAAGACTTTCTCAAGACGGGTCAGCTGAGGATGTGGGATTCAGTATATAGCGTGTGTGTCTGTCCCATATCCAGGGACACGTTCCCATCTCAGACCTCGGGTCCGGCCCTCACATGCAGCATCTCTACAGGCTGCTTACTACCTGGAGGCGTTTGCTGGGACCCACACACCCATCCTTTATTTTATTTTATTTTATTATTTTATTTTATTTTTTTATTTTATTTTATTTTATTTTATTTTTTTATTTTATTTTATTTTAATTTTATTATTTTATTTTATATTTTATTTATTTTATTTTATTTTTTAATTGCTATTTCTATTTTTATTTTTATTTCTATTTTATTTTTATTTCTATTTTCATTTCTTTTTTTAAAATATATCTTTATTGGTTTCAGAGAGAGGAAAGGAGAGGGAGAGAGAGAGAGAGACAGAAACATCAATGATGAGAGAGTCATTGATCAAGCCCACAACCCGGGAATGTGCCCTGACCGGGAATCGAACCCCAATCACCTAGATCCTAGGTCGACGCTCAACCGCTGAGCCACGCCCGGCTGGGCTTTATTTCTATTTCTATTTTTATTAATATTTTTATCTTTATTTTTATTGTTATTTCTATTTTTATTTTTATAATACACTTTCCTTGATTTTAGAGACAGAGGAAGGGAGAGGGAAAGAGTCCCAGTGGCTGGTCACCGGCCGCCCGAGCCTAGCTCTCCCTCAGGAGCCAGGAACCGACGCTGTTTGTTAAATCGATGGACATTGAACAAACCACTCCCTGTGGTAAAGGGGGTTCGGACGGCGTCAGAGGATTGTACGTATCGGGTCAGGAGCCTAAGGAATATCAAGACCCTTTCCACCCGGCATCTCCTTACCCGAGGATATTTCTCTCCGTTGATTTTCAGAGACGGTGGAAGGGAGGGAAGTGGAAGGAGAGAGAGAGACAGAAACATCAATGATGAGAGAGTCATTGATCGGCTGCAGCCCACAATCCGGGCCTGTGCCCTGACCGGGAATCGAACCCCAATCACCTGGATCCTAGGTCGGTGCTCGACCCCTGAGCCGCGCCGGCCGGGCTCACGCTGTTATTTTAAAGGATGCAACATTCTCAGTATCTCACAACACGCTTGTGGACTTAAAATATAAACCTTCCAACTCTATTCGTTTTTTAACTGAAACACAGTCATAATTAAAAGTTAGACAGCAGGTTCCCTGGCGGTGTCCTCGCACTCGGGTCCCTGCTGGAGGGAACTGACTTGTTGGGTGATGACAGGATTAGCCGGTTCCTAACTTAGGCCGGCGATTTCCGGAGAGATTCGCACGCAGCCCCCTAACTCCTTTCGAGTTTCCCGATAGCCA